GTTCACATGTGAACTGTGAGTGTTGGATGTTTTCTCTGTTAACATGTGAAGCTGTGTGTATTGGATGTTTTCTCTGTTCACATGTGAAGCTGTGTGTATTGGATGTTTTCTATGTTCACATGGGAAGCTGTAGGTGATGGATGTTTTCTATGTTCACATGTGAAGCTGTGTGTGTTGAATGTTTTCTATGTTCACATGTGAAGCTATGTGTGTTGGATGTTTTGTATGTACACATGTGAAGCTGTATGTGTTGGATGTTTTCTCTGTTCACATGTGAAGCTGTGTGTGTTGGATGTTTTCTATGTTCACATGGGAAGCTGTAGGTGATGGATGTTTTCTATGTTCACATGTGAAGCTGTGTGTGTTGAATGTTTTCTATGTTCACATGTGAAGCTATGTGTGTTGGATGTTTTGTATGTACACATGTGAAGCTGTATGTGTTGGATGCTTTCTCTGTTCACATGTGAAGCTGTGTGTGTTGGATGTTTTCTATGTTCACATGTGAAGCTGTAGGTGATAGATGTTTTCTATGTTCACATTTGAAGCTGGGTGTGTTGGATGTTTTCTCTGTTCACATGTGAAGCAGTGTGTGTTGGATGTTTTCTATGTTCACATGTGAAGCTGTGTGTGTTGGATGTTTTCTATGTTCACATGTGAAGCGTGTGTCTTGGATGTTTTCTATGGTCACATGTGAAGCTGTGTGTCTTGGATGTTTTCTATGTTCACATGTGAAGCGTGTGTCTTGGATGTTTTCTATGTTCACATGTGAAGCAGTGTGTGTTGGATGTTTTCTATGTTCACATGTGAAGCAGTGTGTGTTGGATGTTTTCTATGTTCACATGTGAAGCAGGGTGTGTTGGATGTTTTCTACAACCTCAGCAGTCAAACTCAATGAATGGATGCTGTAGGCGTTTCTGAGTGTCTAACACCAGTTGTTCCATCAGGTCTCACCTTTGACCATTACTTCAAACACAGTATAGTTAGGAATTTCCACTTACGTGGAGTTGTTGMAGGATGGAGGAGGACAAAGACCTATGGACCAGGACTCCACATGGACCTTTAGCTTATCTATCTCTCTGTGTGGACAGACAGGATGGAGCTAATTCTTTATGTGTCCTCCAAAGAGTGGACCAGCCGAGCTCAGAGGGTCCCATTCCTCAATCTGCCCAGCAGCATCAGACCCAGCTGGACTCCATATTTTTGGTGAGTACATGTCCAACAATGTCCTTTATTTATTGTGTCCAAAGTCGTCTTCTTGCTGCAATTTGTAGACTAGAGGACTGTCTATCGAACTTGTATACCAGTGGACTGTCTGTTCAACACATAGACCAGTGGACTATTTGTAAGACATGTACACCAGTGGACTATGTGTTCAACATGTAGACTAGAGGACTGTTTGTCCAACGTGTAAACCTGCGGACTGTTGGTATGTTCAACATGTTGACCAATGGACTATTGGCCTATTTAACTTGTAGACAGTGAACGTTTGGTCTATTCAACCTGTAGAGCAGTGGACTGTTTGTAAGACATGTAGACCACTGGACTGTTTGAAAGACATGTAAACCAGTGGACTGTCTGTACAGCAAGTAGAGCAGTGGACTGTGTGTAAGACATGTCTACCAGTGGACTGTCAGTCCACTGCTCTACATGCTGTACAGTTTGTAAGACATGTACACCAGTGGACTGTGTGTTCAACATGTAGACCAGAGGACTGTTTGTCCAGCATGTAAACCTGTGGACTGTTGATATGTTCAACATGTAGACCCGTGGAATATTGGTCTGTTCAACTTGTAGACCAGTGGACTGTCTGTACAGCATGTAGAGTAGTGGACTGTTTGTAAGACATGTATACCAGTTGACCGTCTGTTCAACAAGTAGACCAGTAGACTGTGTGTTCAAAATGTAGACCAGAGGACTGTTTGTTCAACATGTAAACCAGTGGACTGTTGGTATGTTCAACATGTAGACCCATGGAATATTGGTCTGTTCAAGTTGTAGACCAGTGGATTATTGATATGTTAAACATGTAGACCTGTGGAATATTGGTCTGTTCAACATTTAGACCTGTGGACTATTGGTATGTTCAACATGTAGATCCATGGACTATTGGTCTGTTCAACCTATAGACCAGTGGACTGTCTGTACAACATGTAGGCCGTTGGACTGTCTGTTCTACATGTTGACCAGTGGACTGTAAGATTTTTATACCAGTGGACTGTCTGTATAGCATGTAGAGCAGTGGACTGTTTGTAAGACTTATACACCAGTGGACTGTTTATCCAGCATGTAAACCAGTGGACTGTTGGAATATTCATCATGTAGACCTGTGGAAAATTGGTCTGTTCAACATGTAGACCAATGGACTATCGGTCTGTTTCACATGTAGACCAGTGGACTATTGGTCTGTTCAACATGTAGACCAGTGGACTATTGATTGTAGACCAGTGGACTACTGATTAGTTAAACATGTAGACCAGTGGACTACTGATTAGTTAAACATGTAGACCAGTGGACTACTGATTAGTTAAATATGTAGACCTGTGGACTATTGGTCTGTTAAACATGTAGATCAGTGGAATATCTTTTCAACATGTAGACCAATGGACTRTAATCTCATCATGTATACCAGTGGACTCTCTGTCCTATATGTAGACTTGTTTACTGTCTCTCCAACATGTAGTCCAGAGGACTATCAGTCTGTCCAACATGGATCTGATATCTCATTCAGRTATTATTCTTTTTCAGCTGCTGGAGGACATTATGGTCACATTAGTAAAGGATGAGCTAAAGAAGATCCAGAAGGATCTGAGTCCAGATTACTCAGAATGCTTAGCGAGTAAGAGGGACATTGAAGAAGTGTTGAACAGTGAGGATGAAGAGCAAAGGAAGAGCAGAGAGGCATTGAAAATGATCACAGTTTACCTTCTGAGGAGGTTGAAGCAGGAGGAGCTGGCTGACCGTCTGCAGAACAGTAAGATATTTCTTTAAAGAGATAACCTTCTGGCTGAATGATATTTTTTATGTTAGCAATCAAACATATATTTAAATTGTCATGTTTTTACTTTTTTAAATAGATTTTTATTCTTGTACATTTTTTTAGAATGCTATCCTTCGGGGTGTCAATGTCACCTTAAATCTCGTCTGAAGCAGAAGTTCCAGTGTGTGTTTGAGGGAATCTCTAAAGCAGGAAAACCAACCCTTCTGAATCAGATCTACACAGAGCTCTACATCACAGAGGGAGGGACTGGCAATGTCAATGATGAACATGAGGTCAGACAGATTGAAACAGCATCCAGGAAACCATACAGTACAGAAACAACCATCAGACAAGAAGACATCTTTAAAMGCCTACCTGGAAAACATCAACCAATCAGAACAGTCCTGACAAAGGGAGTGGCTGGCATTGGGAAAACAATCTTAACACAGAAGTTCACTCTGGACTGGGCTGAAGACAGAACCAACCAGGACATCCACTTCCTATTTCCATTCACTTTCAGACAGCTGAATATGCTGAAAGAGACAAAGTTCAGCTTGGTGGAACTTCTTCATCACTTCTTCTCTGAAACCAAAGAAATGTGCAACTTTAAAGACTTCCAGCTGCTCTTCGTCTTTGATGGTCTGGATGAGAGTCGACTTCCTCTGGACTTCCACAGGAACCAGGTCCTGACTGATGTCACAGAGTCCACTTCAGTGGATGTTCTGCTGACAAACCTCATCAGGGGCAACCTGCTTCCCTCTGCTCGACTCTGGATAACCACTCGACCTGCAGCAGCCAATAAGATCCCTGCTGACTGTGTTAGCATGGTGACAGAGGTCAGAGGCTTCACTGACCCACAGAAGGAGGAGTACTTCAGGAAGAGGTTCAGAGATAAGAAGCAGGCCAGCAAGATCATCTCCCACATCGAGACCTCACGAAGCCTCCACATCATGTGCCACATCCCAATCTTCTGCTGGATCACTGCTACAGTTCTGGACCATGTGTTGATGAGCAGAGAGGGAGGAGAGCTGCCCAACACCCTGACTGAGATGTACATCCACTTCCTGCTGGTTCACACTAAAGTCAAGAAGCTSAAGTATGATGGAGGAGCTGAGACAGATCCACACTGGAGTCCAGAGACCAGGAAGATGATYGAGTCTCTGGGAAAACTGGCTTTTGATCAGCTGCAGAAAGGAAAYYTGATCTTCTATGAGTCAGACCTRACAGAGTGTGGCATTGATATCAGAGCAGCCTCAGTGTACTCAGGAGTGTTCACGCAGATCTTTAAAGAGGAGAGAGGACTGTACCAGGACCAGGTGTTCTGCTTCATCCATCTGAGTGTTCAGGAGTTTCTGGCTGCTCTTCATGTCCATCTGACTTTCATCAACTCTGGATTCAACCTAATGGGACAAGATGAATCATCTAAGAATCCTAGAACATGTGATCTAAATTATCTTCATCAGAGTGCAGTGGACCAGGCCTTAGAGAGTTCAAATGGACACCTGGACTTGTTCCTTCGGTTCCTCCTGGGTCTTTCACTGCAGACCAATCAGAGTCTCCTACAAGGCCTGCTGGCACAGACAGGAAGTAGCTCAGAGATCAATCAGGAAACAGTCCAGTACATCAAAAATCTGATCAGTGAGAATGAGTCTGCAGAGAAAAGCATCAATCTGTTCCACTGTCTGAATGAACTGAATGATGCTTCTCTAGTAGAGGACATCCAACAGTCTCTGAGGTCAGGGCGTCTCTCCACAGATAAACTGTCTCCTGCTCATTGGTCAGCTCTGGCCTTCATCTTACTGTCATCAGGAAAAGTTATGGATGTGTTTGATCTGAAGAAATATTCAGCTTCAGAGGAGGCTCTTATGAGGCTGCTGCCAGTGGTCAAAGCCTCCAACAAAGCTCTGTAAGTAAAAACACAGTGGAACCTTTCTGAATACATTACTACTGTTTCTACGAGGAAAAGTGATGTTAAGTGTCAACATTTTACTTATTCATTGTTGATGAATTTAGTTTCTGTTGAGGCCTGGGAGCTTGAGTATTCTGTGCAGTATCTTAGCTTTTCCTAGGACTGTGCTCTTCTGAACAGATGTCCTGATGCATCTCAGTAATCCAGGTAAAAAATCAAAAGGAAAAAAATTGTATAGGCCCTCTGGACGGGTTCTTCTTTAATGAAATGTTTCGTCTCTCTTCCAAGAGACTTCTTCAGTCTGAGAGTTTCAGGCAAAATTCTGGCTTTTTTGAGTCCTGCCTCCATGTGA